CCCCCCCCCCCTCGCCCCACCATTCCCTCCGTTCCCCATTCCCCGTTCTCTCATTCCACGTTCCCGCATTCCCCGTTCTCCCGTTCCTCCATTCCCCCATTGCCCGTTCCCCCATTGCCCGTTCCTCCATTCCCCATTCCCCCATTCCACGTTTTTCGACAGAGAAAACGATCTTTTTGCCTGTATTCAATCTACAAACACTAAAAACAAGTTAACTACTCGTATTTTACTCGTATGTACTCGTATTATACTCGTATGTACTTGTGTTTTACTCGTATGTACTCGTATGTTACTCGTATGTACTCGTCTGTTACTCGTATGTACTCGTCTGTTACTCGTATGTACTCGTATGTACTTGTGTGTTACTCGTATGTTACTCGTATGTACTCGTGTGGCGTTTTAGTCACGATCAAAAATAATTAACACTATATACGTATTATACATAAATATTTTTTACAAACATTCTTTTAGACAATTTCGTTATGCATAAAATTTACTTAATGTCAAGCTTTTATGCCTTTGTGTGTTAGCAGAGCGCCGAGGGATTCAAATTCTAACAATACTATTAAATATTTCAATAGTTTTGGGTTTTTTTATGGAAACCCTGTATGTATTAAGTAAGTAAAAAGATTAAACTTTGCATTGTATGGTTATTTTTAAGGGCATTTTTCTTTGGCGACGTCACTCCAAAGGATCGTCCAAGCACTTACGTTCACTTGATATATGTCCTATATAAATACTACACTGAATACTGTCGAGAAATCCCGCTGATAGTAAATACTTGCGGCTGGATAAAAGGTATGCAAAGCAGAAATATGGAAAGTTGGGTGGGGCAGGGTTTTAGGCCCCCTTTACACGAGCCCGGGTTGACTATCAACCCGTGTTGGCTTGCCAGCCCGGGTCAGCCCGTCTACGAATAAATCTCTATTAGCGTTTACACGATAGCCGGGTCAACCTTTCACACCTCGCCAACCCGGGGCACCCTTCTCGAGACCCGGGTTGGCGAGGTGTGAACGCGTGAAAAGTTTCTTCATTTCTTCATGTAAAGCCGGGTTGGCTTGACCCGGGGTCATGTAAAGTGCGGTAAATTCATGATTGTGAACTTTGCACCTAGCGACATATCGAATTTCAACATTTTGCGTGCGTATTTTCTCCGTCTCTGTTAGTACAGACATCTCTGAAGGATTATAAGACGGAGCTGAGATGGATTATAAAAATACAGATTTCAACTCCGATGTTGTCGCAATGTATTCAAAGTTGCGCGAAGGTATGGCGTTGGCGTTCGATGCCGAATATTTGAGGAGCTACCAAAAAAGAAAGAAAACGTCTTTAAGGCAGAATTAAGTTGCTATACGGTTAAATCCCTGATAAAAAGGGATATAATCGTATACTGAAAGATATAAGAGCCAAAACTAAAAGGAATATGATCGTATGAGCTCTATAAGGGATACAAAATACACTCTGCTCCAGTCTGTTGCTCGGAATATTACTCGAGTCAGCCCGGGTTGAGAATTGCTGACCCGGGTTGGCAAAAATTGTCGTCAACCCGAGTTCATGTAAACAGAATAAAAAAATAACCACCTGTGGCGTGCTGACCCGCGTTGAAAATCAACCCGGGCTCGTGTAAAGGGGGGCCTTTAGCTAGAAGGCTTTGTTGGCCGTGTTATCGCGACCAAAAATGTAAAAACACGGCTACATGAAACGAACGCGGCTTCAGTATTTATTTTTGGCCGACCATGTAGGTTCATAAAATAAGGTGTTTCTACTTACAACCATACATAATTTCTTTGTAAAATCTACTGTAGTTGTTGAAATTGCTAAAAGACGTGAAAGTGATCCGTGATGTTATAATGTTAAATCTAGTCCGGCGAGTATGAAATGTCCGGTGAATATGAGATATTCACGAAGTGAAACCTGCGTTTAAACGAACTGTAGTTAGGTTGTATTTACCTTAGGATCAGACCCTTGATGCATGTCATCTAAATTACCTCCTTGTTATATTTTAAGATTCTCAGTTGACTGAAATAATTTTAGCAAATTTATAGCATATATAAATTTAAGTTAATGAGACAAGGTGTGATGGTAAGATGAGGAGGTAGATATGGTTTATATCAACCTAATCTTTGACAGTTAGGTCAAAGGTCTTGACAGATGGGTCAAAGATCATCTTCTGCCAGCTAGCACACATTCACGTGAACAAACCGTGAAACACACTGTGAACCAATTGAAAACCTTGTACGACTCTGTTCTGTGCTTTGACCAATCATAGGGCACAACACAGCCCATCCTAATTGGCACATAACATGCACGAGTTCATGCAAAATAACTTATTTTACTCTGAGATGTCGACAGAGTAACATTGAAAGATTTTCAAAATATAACTCTACCGCGGGCAAGCGCTTTTTACTCTTCTGGTGGACAAAGGAATATGTTCGCTCAAGTACCGATATGTGATTCAGTGAGACGTAGTTTATTCAAACATAACTCTGCCACGGGCAAGGACTTGTACTCGTCTGGTGGACAAAAGAATACGTTGGCTCAAGTATAGATAGATAGATAGATAGAAAACTTTATTTAACCACGCTAACCCCGTCAACCGAAGCTGATTTCCACAGGGGGCGTGTATAGAAGAAATTACAGAAG